GCGCAATCTCGCTCTCAATCAGAAACTTCGCTCTCAATCACACGAAAACCTTGTTGTAAGGGAATTTGTTTCCTAANGACCGCTTCGATGCCCTACCACTTTCAACACGACGTATCTTTCAATTTTCGGTTGATTTTCGTCGTTTGCTGTCAGGGCAGGTAAGGGAATTTGTTTCCCAAGGAAATATTCCGCCAGTTTTCCAAACTGTGGTGCTGGTGGTTTTTCCCTTTCATGTTACTGTTTTAGATGGGCAAGATGCACGGATATTTGTCGTGTTTGATCGACTTGCTTCTTCACCCTATACACAACTAGCGACAGTTAGTTGTGAGCATTTGGTATATGGTCCTCGCCACGGTATGAACAGCTTCGGACTTGGTCCATCTATATCCTGGTGTGGTCGGTATACGAGTACCTGTTGACCAGGTTTAACGACGGGGTACCGCGGTAACTTTTGATTTTTCGCAGCTTGCTTCTCTGCACGTTCCGAGAGGTTTCTCCGCGCTACTTCGAAAGAAATTTGTAGATTTTCTCGTGTTTTTTGAGCAAAACTCTCGGTATCTGCAGTTGATCCTACATGTGGGATTCCGAGAATTACATCTACCGGTAACCGTGCTTGGCGACCAAACATCAAGAAGTACGGTGTCTCATGCATGGTTTTATTAAACGACGTATTATACGCTAGTTGAACCATTGGCAGGAGATCCGCCCAGTTGTCACGATTCATGGAGCTATGCATTGCGAGCATGGAATGCATCGTTGAATGCACACGCTCAGAGACCGAATTACCTTGCGGACGATACGGCGTCGTGCGTGTTTTCTTATAGCCCAAGATTGTTTGCAACTGATAGATTATCTTGTTTTCGAATTCAGTGCCTTGATCAGAGTGCAGCATTTCAGGCGGGCCGAAGATACTGATAATCCGATCAATGATTACACGTGCTACCGTTTCAGCAGTTTTGTTTGGAACTGGTGTGAGAATTGCATAACGCGTCAGGTGGTCCATCATGGAAAGCACGTATTTGCATCTCACTCCGACTGCTGACATTGAGAGTGATTTGTACTCGACTAGGTCGACTGATACTCTTTCAAACGGCCGCTCGCTGTACAGGTACAACAACATATTCGCCTGATTGAGAGCGTAGCATCTGATTGAGAGCGAGATTGCGCGATACGCTGTAGCCGGACTACCACTGAGAGGTGGAGCTTGCTGTGTAGCTTGAATTGAAGGGCTAGCCCGTAGCTTCAAGCCGCTACCCTGGTCATCCTGTGGGAGTCTCTCGTTGTGGAGCTACAGCGGGGAGCAGAAGCTACAGCAGAGCCCACCGCCCGACGCGATACCGCCCTGAAACAGTTTGAGCAGAAATAGCCAATCTGGGCAAATCTAGCAACTTGTCTAGCTCCTCGCTGCAGCATCCGATGACGATGACACGCATATGCTCGCGAAGCTGCTGATGAGACCTTCAATTTGCACCGCTTCTTGGAATAGCCCGTCCCCTACTTGCCAAGAAATGGCAAGAGGCGTCTGGACCCGAAATTTCAATTTTTTTGGCTCTCGCTCTCAATCAGATACTTCGCTCTCAATCAGGCGAATATGTTGTTGTACGTGACCCGTCGGCAA